TATTTGGAACGTATTTTGTGTTTTCAGAACGGCCACCTCATAGCTACAGCCGGCGGTAATATACTGTTGCCCACAGAACTTTGGCGTCCTGGCAAGCCTACTTTGCATCCGGAGTTTACAAACGTTTATGTCTTAGTCTATGAAGACTCACTTAATCCTCGTCAAGGTTTATTGAATAACCAACCATCCTACACTGCCCATAGTGCCATCTGTGAAAAATAAAAGCAGAAGCGATGAACTCTATCGTGGATAAGATTAATCATCTGATAAACTGAAATTTACGACGTTTGAATCTCGAAATTTATTTTTTAGACATATATTTCTCTTATTGTATATATCGATCTTTTCAATTATAGGTTTCAGATATATTGATCTCCTGCTCAACACGACAACAAATATTGATTTGTGATATAAGCAATCAACTTCTCAACATGATTTATAAAAATATATAAACAGGGTGTCCGTAAGATCCTTTCACAATTTCAATTTTGTTATAATATAAAGTCAGTTCTCGATATATCTTAACCGGGTTTGTTGTTTTAAAATCAGTAACTGTTTTATTACCAATAATAATATTAACATATATCAATAATAATTATTTATATAATAACAATTATTATTGATATATAAAATATTTTTAATACATTTGTGAGGACCAAAACAATATATAGTATCGATAAATTCCCCTTGGCATTTTTAAAAAATATAAAGACTTCATGGACACCCTATATACCTTGCACGATTTAAAGTTTATACTCACTCTTAATTGTATCTATCTATTGGCAACGAGTAATTTATACCTGACTTCTGTCTATGGTCGCATATCTCCAAGTCGGCTTAACGGTTTGTTATTACAGTCGACTTTCGATCAAATATTATATTAAAACGTATTTCAACATCCGTCTTGCCGATAATTGAACTACAAATTCAAATTTTCGTACTCACATTCAGATGTTACGTAAATTACTTTTGGGCAGATAGAAATGAAATATTAGAGAGTTACGTATTTTAGCATTCGTTTCGCAGACAAAAACTCAGATTTTTGATCACTCAAGCTCAATACTCTCCGAGCAATGATATGATATGGAAAAACGTAAATTATTCGAAATCTATTTTTTTCAACAGTTCATTGGACATATTTTTGAAACTTTCAGCTGCTTTCTCCTTAGAGAACCCTCCTTACTCACTGTAATTGAAACGTGTGACTTTTGACTTTTTTAACACAAAAAAAATGAAAGATTTTAATCCCAGAAAGCCTGTTTTCGTTTCTATTGAATTACATGTGGGAGTTCAAACTAAAATAGTGTTTATTGATGAAATAGTTATCTTCTACCGCAAAATTGAACATCATAAAATATTTCAAACTATTTGTGTACTTACAAAGTGGCTACGTGTTTCTCATAAATATTGCCAATTTTTCGGACTACATTTTGTTTGTGGCGGTATTTATTCTCCAATCTCTCGTTCTTCAGCCTGATTATTTCAATTTTTGATTACGTTTCGTACTACAGTTTACGTTTTGCATCTTCTAATTTATGTTTCCGTTCATGTTTTTCATTGTCAATCCTTTCCTTCCGCTCTTATTCCGCTTTTTTTGCCTATAGTTACAACCTATCAGCCTGAAAGCCATAGCAGTAAAATTGCCAAAACATTCTGGTCATAATTAGGATTGATGCACCCTTTCATCATAATCAATGCACCTGGAATCACGGTTTAGCTATTTCCCTACCCAGATCTGGTTATTTTGGGACATTCCCTATCCGTGAAATGATGGAGCTTACCTGTAAACCTATCTGTCGCAGATTAAATTAAGTTCTTAGTTTTAACGACATAATAAAATTCTTGAAAAATTATTTTTTTCAAAACCCAATAGCTATTTACTTTTAAGCAGCTCACACAGAGCCTTGTTCTGAGAACATTGACACTCTGATTCGAGCAAGGCATTGTAGAAGCAGCCAAGTCAGAGTAACGGGCTACAACTATTTGTAACTAGTAAAGTTCTCCGTATTATTAGCAACTGTAAATAGTATGAATGAGGCTGCTTACTTCACAAACATCCACATCAGCAATCAGCTCTCATATGTATTCACTTTCAAGTTTCATTACTTTACTACTTGTGGTAAACAAATGAGCTTGAGGAAAGTAGCGTAAACGCGAAATGTTGCCGGAGCATGCCAATTGCCAATAATATCTCTACTTAGTGGAAGACGATTTTACTATGGTTCTTATAATCCGGCAACTACCTATCTATTGACGTTCAATGTTTTATGCAAGGTTTTTAGCTTGCAGTTGAAAATATAAAACATTTTCGTAATCGAATGCTACGCCGACAATATTTAGAGTTAATGCTGCTGCGGGAAGACGTCCATAATTTATCAATAATATCAATTCGATGTTTGTTAACTTTTGCCTGTTTCATCAATGGTTGACAAAAAATAGTTGAAGCTTCTTTTTAACCGTGCACTATTTGTTCATTCAAGTAAGTCTCGCCAGTTGACTTTTTCTTGCTGTTGCATTTGAACTGATATTCATATAGTTTATGTTGCCGGTCTGCGAGGTCATTTTATTTAATGACACTGGTAACGTTGAGGTAAAACGGTTAGGAATGAAACTGAACAATATCAAGTGTGATATATTGCCGTATCACAAGATCATAAACCAGGGGTTGGCAAGCTTTTGTCGCTCGCGGACCAAAGTTAAGGTGTGCAAGTCATTGGCGGGTGGCAAATATTTTTAGAAAGTGGATGGCCGATCAATCACATTTTTATACACAGATCAGAAGTTAAAATTTAAGCACCGCGTGAAGACTGTGTCAACTCATGAACTCAACTTGGCCTTACTCGTGGACAAAAATTTACAAAAAACATGTAACACTTTTTGTTGCATCACGCTTATCTAAATGGGACACTGTTGTACATTGTTCGAATGTACATGTACTTCAAAACATCATAGTGAATATTTTTTCGCATGGTTTGGATAGAGTTTTCTATGCAGAAGATACTTTTTATATTAAAAATCAGAAGTGATACACCTCGCGAATGGAATATAGATTTATTTCCTTATTGTATTGCATCTCAGAAAATTCCATTTGAATATTTCCCGCGTCATTGCACCCTTTGCACTTAGCATTAACTTATCTGCGTTTTGTTGCCATTTTTCCAATTATAATTAAATTATAGGCCCTCAAACGAGTAATTGTGAATTATATACTTGATTGGTTATAATACTTATTAATTTTACTTTTATATTTATATATTATTATTATATTCATTATTATTAATATTTATAATTTAGTCTACATGTGTCTCACAATAAATTCTGTTACGTGAAGAATATAATCGTCAACACAGCTGTTTTGTTACTACAATTCAGTGAAGCGTCGCGGGCCGGTTTGTTATTACTCCACGGGTCGTAGGTTTCCGACCCATGTCATAAACAATTTAAGACTGAAAAATAGACGAAAACAGAGTTATATTCAGAGGAATGAGCCAAGTGAGGAATTTATCAATAAAGATGCGGTTCAAAAGGGCATATCGGCGTTGTTTGCTGAGAAAACATAGCGTTCGTATTTGAATCATACGAATGTTTGATCATCATAAAACTCAGCGATGTCCGTTTATTATTTATAGGTTGTGACGGAATAGAGCTTAGTACAATACAATGTGCCAAAACCAGTAGTGAGAGACGTACTTTTACGCGAAATATGTGTTGTAATAAAAATAAAAAATTGTTCTTATACGGAAAATCCAAGAAATTTCGTTTAAATCTAGTTTCTGTTTGAACTGTTGAGACTTATTTTTTTGTTGTGTTGTCTCTGTGTATAACTTTATTGTTCAAGGAGAGGAAAACTTTACTTTGAATATTTGTGACTACTATAGTATTCTCCACTCATTTAGTAATATTTCAATACGTATTTCATGCAAGGTAAAAACTACAAGAAAAACAAAAAACTTTTTCGCAAATATAAATACTTTCACTTTATTAATTAGAATGAAAAGCATCATCATTATTTACTGCTACTACAATAAAATAATACAATAAAATTATTGATACAAGTGAAACTCGATAATCCTGGCAATTTTTGCTTATGGCCCACCTGAAAATGTCTCTGTGGCCCAGTAGTAGGTTGGGAACCATTGAACTAGATTCTTCGAAATAGAAAATATTTTGTATCCAACTTCGAGCCGTTCTCTTTGACTCTATGCTGCGAATTTTTATACGTCGCCTGTTCACTCATTTTGCTTTGAACCAGGCCCTGTATAAGTAGCAACTGATATCTAAGAATAACCAAGGAGCTGATTGCTATTCTCAAAAAGGCCGGAAACTTCTCTGTGCGACATTGCCCAACCAATTTACTACGCCCTGGGTGAGGTGTGGCGAATGGTATTTGAACCCGAAATATGTGCCAATGCACTTCAGTCAAACGCTTCAACTGCCAGGATAATGCCTGCCTTATTTTGTAAAATTCTAAAACTGTTCACTGTTTAAAAGTTTTATCTCTGGCCCTGTTTCGGGCTGAACAGCCACTATATCAAATTTTATTAAGGAGCTACTATTTTTGTAAGGCACCCCAGAAGTATGTGTATCAATATGGAGGTAACTAATTTTGTTCGCCTATTTTTTCATCAAGTTGGGTAAAGGAGGATTGAAATCTACGGGCAGGGTGTATACTCACTTGACTAACAAAAATAGTCCCCGAACTCGTAATAGAACTAAAATAAGGAAAATCGGAATTTAATCATGGCCTAACCCTGACTTGGTACACACACTACGTGAGTACCAAAATGGGTGCTCTGTAATCTTTTGTAATAGTCGGAATCCTTCACAGTTGGCATTGCCATCGTGTATTCTCCAGAGACTCGGATAACACATCAATATAGCACACATAGCATATCAATAGCACAGGTTTATCCTTTAGTAATGTGAAATATAATTATAAAGCAAATTCCAATTGAGAGAAGTTCAAACAGTCACTAATAATTGTTCGTCTCGAAAATTGATTGATTGTTGCATATCACGAATTAGTAACACGATGCCCCTGGAATTGGGGTTTCTAGGTATTGCTCGTAGCCGCGGCTTCAGCAGTGAGTGCCTCACTGAAAATAACAAAAATGTCATCATTTCCAATATTTAGTGGGTATGATTACCTTGCAGAAGACTGCAAGAAACACTATCAATAGGCTTTCTCTACTTAGTCCATCCATATGCAACAATTACCCGGCGTGCTATTTTTGAAATGAACTGATAATGGAAAGTATTTAAAAAATAAAAAATGTTTTTGTTGTCCATTCAAATACGGATTATATTCACTTCCCATTCAATACGATAGTTTTCACACTTTTCCAATATCAAGTTGACAGTTGAAGTCGCTAATTCGTTACTAATTATGAAACTAAAATCAACTCATAATTGTACTGTTGCAATCCTGCTAACACTATGCAAACGCACTAATTCGAATTCCCAAAAGAACCATGATGTACGAAATGATTGATCTATTTATTATCGATGGTGAATTGGACTGAACATGTAAACAACTTCACACGGGATTATAAAAAAGGCGACGAACTGTCAAGAGCGGTGTTTGCTCCTGCCTTTCGCTCGGAACAATACCAGGTTCAGGCGACAACTGATATCTTAGAGGCTCTCCACAGATTTACTCCGATATCCAAGTTTGTTGGTAAAATATAACACTTGATAGTACGACTACTTTTGATAGTTTTATGATTAAACGAGTCTAATTATATACAATACAACTCGATTTATTTCGGTCAGTTCAGTTGGAGGAAGCATTGATAGTAGATTTGAATGTTGGGTTGTCTACCTCAAAATGTTGAAAACCTGGCCTATGCTATGGGTATTTTATTTATCATATCACAATGAACATTTTTAAATAAGCTTACGAGTCTTCTTCATCTTGCTCCGAGGACGTGGATATGTTTCTGGCAATGCTAATTGCTTCTTTTTTCGGTATTTCCAGTCTCAGGCTAAAAATATACAATGATATGCGGGGCATTAGTTGCGACTGACATAAGTTATGGTTAATATTTTAAATATAGATAATATGAAATCAACTCTCAGTAGTAAGAATGCAGTACTGTTTGCGTCACGGGAAACGCACAGGTTGGAATTGATTGATTTATTGTCGAAAATGCATTACTGAACTTATAACCTAGACTAGATAGCGATCGGAGACCGCGGACTTATCGATCTTGAGGTTTTGAATCCTTCTCTCTGACTCAATAGCGACACCGCGTGTCCCATCACTAATTAATTAATAACTCGCTAATTATACGAAATGATTCATCCAAAATCCATAGGCTTCTGGTCCGAGATACGATTAGTGAACATGCGAAATTTGGTGCAGATTCAACCTCGCTTTCATGAGGTATCGTGTGACATACGAAAGTGAAACGAACAGACTAGATAGCGATCGGAGATCACCAACTTATCATTCTGCGATTTCGATTTCTTCGTTCTGACTCCATAGCGACACCGCGTGGCCCATCATTAAATATTTATTATCTCGCTAAATATATGACATAATTCATCCAAAATCATTAGTCATTTTGGTCCGAGATATGATGAATGCACATGCAAAATTTGGAGCAGATTCAACATCTCTTTCGTGAGATATCGCGTAACATATGGAAGTGTCTAATAGACAAACAAACAGACAAATATCTATCAACATACTTATCGATCGAGATCGATAATTAACAAACAAACTAGATAGCGATCGGAGACCGCGGACCTTTCGATCTACGGTTTCGTTGTTGTTTTTTGCTCTGACTCAGTAGCGACACCGCGTGTCCGATCACTAATTAAATAATATATCGCTAATTATACGACATAATTCATCCAAAATCAATAGGCTTCTTGGTCCGAGATATAATGAATGAACATGCAAATTTGGAGCAGATTCAACCTCGCTTTCGTGAAATATCCCGTAACATACGAAAGTGAAACAAACAAACAGACTAGATAGCGATCGGAGTCCACCGACTTATCGATCTGCTGTTTCGATTCCTTCGCTCTGACTCAATAGCGACACCTCGTGTCCCATAACTAATTAATTGATAACTCGCTAACTATACGACATAATTCATCAAAAATCAAGGGCTTCTGGTTCGAGATATGATGAATGCACATGCAAAATTTGGAGCAGATTCAACCTTGCGTTCGTGAGATATCGCGTAGCATACAAAAGTGTCTAACAGACAGACAGACAGACAGACAGACAAATACTTATCAACATACTTACAGATCAAGATCGATAAGTAACAAACTAGATAGCGATCGGAGACCGCCGACTTATCGATCTTGCGGTTTCGATTCCTTCGCTCTGACTCCATAGCGACATCGCGTGTACCATCACTAATTAAATAATACTTCGCTAATTATACGACATAATTCATTCAAAACCAATGGGCTTCTGGTTCGAGATATGATGAATGAACATGCGAAATTTGGAGCAGATTCAACCTCGCTTTCGTGAGATATTGCGGAACATACAAAAGTGTCTAACAGACAAACAAACAAACTAGATAGCGATCGGAGACCGCCGACTTATCGATCTTGTGGTTTCGATTCCTTCGCTCTGACTCAATAGCGACATCGCGTGTCCCATCACTAATTAATTGATAACTTGCTAATTATACGACATAATTCATCCAAAATCAATGGGTTTCTGGTCCGAGATATAATGAATGAACATGCAAAATTTGCAGCAGATTCAACCTCGCTTCCGTGAGATATCGCGTAACATACGAAAGTGTCTAACAGACAAACGAGAATATCGGTCTGAGACCGAAGACTTATCAATCGATGTTAGGGAATCCCCCAAAACAGCGCTCTTACTCCATAGTGACTCCGTGTCCCATCACTAATTTATTAATAACTCGCTAATTATACGACATAATTCGTTCGCTTTTGGTCCGAGATATGATGAATGCACATGCAAAATCTGGAGCAGATTCAATCTCGCTTTCGTGAGATATCGCGTGCAACTAACAGACATACACATAGACAGACAGACAAATACCTATCAACATACTTACCGATCGAGATCGATAATTACCAAACAGACAAATATCGGTGCTCCCGATGTATGCGAACCAAGATGGCGGACATCGGAACGTAACATGGGTAACAGGTTAGGGTTAGGCGATAATTTTTTTCAATTTTTCCTTATTTCAGTCCTATTATCAGTTCGAAGACTAGCCAAGAGCCTCCCGTAGTATTTATACCTAAAATTATGGCCTAACCCTAATCTAGTACACATATTACATTCCGATGTCCGCCATCTTGGTTCGCATACTTCGGGAGCCCCCAAATATCAATCAACATACTTACCGATCGAGATCGATAATCAATGACCCCTCACAGAATTGTAAAACGAATTAGCTGTAACTTATATAAGATTATGCTGGCTCCGATATGGCATATTGTACTAGTTTGCAAGTCATAAAATGGTAAATGCGCTTACGCTAGTCTGGTCACGACATCCGGCGATACCTGCAGGTGATCTGCTTTTTTGAGTGCTTCATCTAATGTGAGTCCATTCTGCCGGCTAAAAATACAATGATATGCAAAGTTTAAGTTACGACTGAAATAAATTGAATACTTTATGATTGAAGTATTTAATTAGCTACACTTACCACGTATTTACATATTTACTCCATGCATCTATCTGTCCATTAATTATCGTTTTCAGTCGTGCCTCTTTGTATTCATTCCCTGCCGCATACATGTCAAGCTTATGCTTGTACTCCAACTTGAGTTTTTCTGTAGTGAAAGCGTGATCTGTCACCGTTCCTTCTTTTCGTTCACGAATTTTTTCACACTTGTTCTCTCCTGATCGTGGTCTATTTGACTCGTATTCCTCTCGTCGATCTCTTTCCTTCTCTTCTATTAATGGAAAGATTTGAAATAAGTCAATCATATCCAGTGCATCACTAGTGAGGAAAGATACAATTTAATAAAGAAATTCGCAAAAATAGGTTTGCCACTTCTGAAACCAAAGGTGACTGATAGACCGCGGCGCTGAAGGTGACTCTATATATCGATCCGAACATGTCCGTTGAGCTAGACGCTAGAGCGATACGAAATTCCAATATTATGGTCAGTTTGGTATGAAGTCTGGCGCTTGTTGAGTAGGACATGAAATAAAATTGCTATTCGTCGCATATTTTATATTTCCTCCATTTCGACATGTTCCATCACATTATCCAACCCCGTGTTTCGTTAAACTGCCAATGAACCTATTAAGTAATGTTTCGCCCAAAATATACAAATATTTCACTCTGATCGCAGCGTAATTGAATTAAAATTAAATCTTTTCTAGCAGTCGGTAGCTGGCTTTTCCGCCAGTCCTGTCAGGGCGTACTATAATTTAGTCGCAGCGCAGACTGTTAAAAACTTTCATCAAAATTGTTTTGAGTTTTCGGGGTGTACGATCAATTTGAAATTATGTGAAACTCAGATTCTTTAATGTGATGCGGAACTAAAGTAGTTTTTGGGAGCAAAAATGACGCCTGATCGATAGAATTCATCACGTAAAATCCATTTGCATCTCCTTTAAAGATACTGTACTCTTGGTATTGAAGTGTGCATTATCAAAAGATTGGACGCCGCTGATAACAGCAATGGACGAACGTTCAATGTTTGTTTCACTTCGGGATATCGCTTACTTTTTCCGAATCGCGTGAATCTGCTTCGAACGGTTCAAAAGAGAGACTATTCGAATCGATAATCTAAAAGTGGCATCCTTAGAACACAAATAAAAATTATTGTCATTCAATAATGTAAGCATGGGCTTGACCAAACAAAATGCCAAACTTCGTGACCCAGAAAACGAGAAAACCAGTTCATATTCTGACTCTAGCCGTTTGCGTAATAATGGGGCTGAATTGACCTATCGGCTGAATGCCTTGGGGTCCCCACATCAATTTTGAACTATTATTTTCAAATAGTTGACTATTTGTGAAGGCTTATCCCTGAATGAAATCGGTTTACATTTTACAAAACAGTTACGTTTTTGATTGGGTTGATTCTTGTTCCAAACGTTTTAAAGGCTCAAACATTGAGTGCAGTCGAATGAATGAATTCGTCTAAAGTTGAACAACTCTAATTTTAAAAAGAAAATATTAAAATTAATTAAACAAACACTCTGCGGGTGTGAGGAATCCAACAATCCTCTCCCACATAATTATTTTCCTTGAGATTCAAACATAGGTTTCCTAATGTAACGAAAATTTATTGCTGCTCTCTACTTTTTGTAGATTTTCTGTCACTAAATTTATATTATTCTGGCAAAAATCTACGAAGGATTTTGGACGTTTGTAAATTTTTGAGAATGGATTTTTGCTGAAGTGCAGCTTTGCGTGGATGTGATTTTACGAGAAAACTTTTGTCCTGTCGCGTGATTCTTTACTCTTGGATATTAATTCATACATGAAAAAACGCAAGCTCGCAACTAAAACTTAGTTAAAATTAGTTCTTACAGACATAAATATATCTCCGATGAATCTCACCCACCTTTTGTCGGTTTACCGCCCATTTTCTTGATGCTGATCTATAGGTTGTCTATAGGCTAGAACCTCGGATTTATTTATTTTACCTCTTGTTTGTCGTTACACTGCAGACATAAGATGAGAAACTACAATTGTGTCACATGTTGTGTACTGTGTAAATTCATGCGTCAACACAAATATTTCGGTAACAGTAGGAGATATCACTTTTCCATAGAACCAGTTATTCAATATTTGACAGGGCAAAGTTCATAAAACGTCCGAATCAGTGAGACGCTGTATTTGTGTCTGCGTTGGTAACCGCCTAGTATTATTATCAGCTTTTATTCTTAAATTTGTATTAGTGCAGGGGTTACTTGAAGAGCAATAATAATTATTTAGAACACTTCGAGAATTGACAGGCTCTTCGTCAATGGCAATGGCAGATAATTCGACATAAAATCATGAGACGAAGATCGTCTGGGTTAGAAAATTAATTGCAATTTTTAAAAATAGAGAAAGATATTTGCTGTGATCCAAATCACATCGCAAATTAGAAAAGGTTGAGTGAAGTTTAATAGGAAAAGTGAGATAAACTCCAAGATAAATAGGGAGTAAGCATTGTCAATACTTCTCAAATATAGCATCACCTTGCATAAAATTCTCTGCTTATATATACAAGGCCTTTTACAAAGCGGAAGACACATAAAACGTGGTGAAAAAATATATATCATCTCTAACAGCGCACTTGTCTTACTACATATATTTTCGGATTAGTTTACTTCGATAGGCTTCAATCTATTCTCATCTTTCCTTTGTGATGGCGTCACCTGCTTCATCTCAAGCCAGCGACACAAGTTCAAAGGTGAATCATATCCACTACTTTTTGGACAAGATGAATTTAGATGAATAATAGCATATCACATTGCCATTACTCGTCCGTTCTGTTGCAGATAATTATGTTAATTAAAAGTTATAATTTGAAAAATTCAACTCATTACGGGTTTAATTCAGGCATTTGCATTTGAAGAAAGAGTATACGCAAAGGACGAGTCTTAATCGTGAGTGTTTTAAAAACACTCAAAAAAAAACTTAATTTGTATACCATAGATCAGGGGTTCCTAAACTATGGCACACCGACAGAATCCAGCCCGCCATACTTGTCTATAAAATATATAAGTAGAAATTTGCTCATATAATTGACTTTGTTTATTTATGTTTTTTTTTTATCACAGACATTTCTATTTTTGTCGCCTTCGAAATATTCATATTTGAAAAAGCTGACTGTTTAAGCCAGCGTTTCCCAACCTTATTAGGTCGCAGACTATTTTCTCACCGGCGAAAACCTTTGCGGACTCAACGTGCGTTCATTGCAACGGTATTCTGCGTGAAGAAGTAATAAAACCAAACACAACAGAATTGTAACGAATTTCAAAATTGGAAATTCTTCGCAATTACGCGTTTGTTAAAAGAGCCAGCTGGTGTATAAATGGCCTTTTCTAGCGCACGATATTAAATCCATGACAACGACGAGAATTTAAAATGTCTTTCTATTTTAATTTAATTGTGTCCATGGTCGCTCGCGGCTGGGTCGACTAACGACAAGATGAAAGCATTACTTATTTAAAATGCCAAGGCAATCTTTGAACATAATAAAGTGAGAATATATTGCCCGATTGTATTTAGTTTTGATACATATTTTTTGCGATTCTTCGAATTTGTTATCGTCGTTAGAAAAATCCTACTATCTGGTATAAATTTCCAGAAGGTACAACTTGATTTAGTACTTATTAAAAATATAATTAGTGTATATTAGTAAATTGAATAAAAATCTTCATCGCCTTGTTTTAATATTAATTTAATTGTGATCATTTTAATCTGCGGTTGTGTTGACGAAATAAAAGCAATACAAGAAAATATCATGACAATCAGTGGACACAAAAATGCGTGGTAAAGTGCCCGATTATATTTTGTTTTGATTCGTATTTTTATGAATTCGACAAATCTGAGCTGTTCGTACAACACTTAATGCGCTCCAGTACTGTACGTACCAATGTGAAGGTAGTAAAGCCAAGAATCGTGAGGAAAAATGCCCTGATACTACAGCAGCACCCAAAATTTTGCGATTTGCAATATCTAAAAACGCGTTTTTAATCGGTTGCGGACTATCATAAAACAAAACTTGTGGTTTTTTATTTAATATTTTGTATTACCGCTTCTCAATTAAGAAAATTCGGGTTGCCACAATTGAAACCTACCAGAAAAACTTATTTCTCGCTGTTCGAGCTCGCGAGACACACCACTTAGGTATCTCTATCCACGCATGTGCCGACTTGTGTTTTCGTCGGGAATCCGCAAGTGATTCGTGAAATCCAATCGTTAAGCGACGCGCAAGTGACCTGTCGCGTCACCTGGTACCAAATTTTCGAATAATAAATTGCTATTCTAATAGTTGAATACTCCAATATGCCCAGCCCTCCAGTAATTATTGACTCGATTAATGTTATGTGAATGAACTTACTTTTATGTTTTATGTAAATTCTAACGAAAATCGTAACTTGGCTGATGGTTAAGTTTCGCAAAAACGTTTGCGGCCCGCAGTGACTTCATGGCTCGTTGCGGACTCATTCAAACGCTTCGCTGACTCATTTGAGACCGCGGACTCGGGTTGGGAAACACTGGTTTAAGCTGATATTTTGAGGAAAACACACAATTTGCCACCAGTCATCGTAAACGCGATTACATTTTATCTAAGCTATAATCCCAAATAATAAAATTATTAGGTAAACGAGAAAATTGATTCGCCTAACGCGAAAATTACACTGTCTAAAATATCATTAATAAAAAAAATCGTGTTTGGACACAAAATAAACCTATGGATCGTCATTTTGAATTGTCTTCTTGTTGTTGTGAAAATACCGCTTTTCTCATCTACTCGCTGGATCAATTGCTTTGAAGTTGTCAGCGGTTAAAGGTTGTCTAAAGGCTATCACTTTTATTTATTCCAAAAATTTCTGTTAGCTCTATGAAATTCATATTCCTTTTTCACAAAAATATTTTTGTGGGATGACGTCATCAAAAATGAAAAAAAAAATCGTATCGTGCGCCGGTTTCGTGATCGCATCTCACTCAGTGATATCTTCCTACCGGTACTGATGCTACTACGTTTGGCTTTTGTGTTCAATTAATTGAGTGTTGCTCTCCTGTCAATCCTAGGATTCATTTATTGTCAGTCGTAAATGGTTTGGTTGCGGATTCACTACGATCTTCACTACGATTATAACAAAATTGTTCTGAAATATATGAGAAATACTTACAACACATGTGGTATAACAATTGCTGCATATCTGCCCCTATATCCTAAGTCATTCTCAATTTAGCACCTGGCCTATTCAGATAGTCGGGAATGCCATGGAAGCGAAATGACACCTAAAAACATGCTCGTTGTGCTAAATTACTATATCAGTTATATAACTTTATCGTTTGTTCATTGCAGAAGCAGGAAGATCCGTCAAGTAGAAACGCACGCAGCCTTTTTTCAGGAGTGATATCGTGGTGTAGCAAAAAATTAATAAGAGGTATGGAATGTTAATATGTTGCTTGAATTGAGCTAGTGTTTGGGTTAGGGGTGAATCTGCTAATAGTATGATTTCTTCATTATATTAAGATTGTAATTTTGATGTAAGAAAAGAGAGAAAAACGTCTGCTAATACCTGAACATGTTCCTCTTCTATATTTTCACTTTTTCTTTTTTGAGAGACGTATAGATAAGTTGAATAGTATAGACGTATAGATAGTGTTGAATCAAAAGTAAAGTAAGCGTTTTAGCAATTTCGAAATCCAGGAATGAGAGTTTTATTTTGATCTTGGAGGTCGGATTCCCAATGATATTGCTGTCACATTGGATATAAACTGTTGAGTTTTTTAGTTTTACACTTGATTAAAATTAATATCAAATTTCTACTAAAGATTCTTCCAATTTGGACTATGTATCCAGTGGACAAGGAGATAGCGACAAGTTTCTTATGGATACGGAAGAGGGTGTGGGGGATAACAAAGATCCATTGGAAGGCAGTAGCGAAGTTTCCCAAGGTAAGGACGAACTTCAAGGTTCCAACGAACAAAATTATCAAAAATATTCATAAAAATTTCTGATTTTGCTGAAATAAATAAGATTTGACAGAATTCGAAGTTCTACTTTTGATGTAAAAATTTCGACTGTAACTATCCACCCCGAGATCACAAATTTTGGTTAGAAAATTTTGGCATTCAAGAATAAAATCACCATATTTTTTCCGAGTGACAAAGCACAAGACGAACTAGCAAAATTGAAAAACCCCAATTCACACAAATAAGGTTGTAACCATTGCACAATACCCGAGGCGAATCGTGTTCAGCATTTAGAATACACTCGCCATCCTATCTCTAATTGCCATAAACGAGTTCTTAGGTTCGAATTACGTGGGGGGTAATTATGAGCGAAAGAATTGCTAAGCTCTTCGTCGTCATAGGGTGTTCACACAGCAGCTGTTCTGTTACGGTTCCTTTACTATCAAGCACATGCCTCTGAAATAATTGACGAACATATCGGTCAGGAATGGTAACCGGACAAGAGGCCGTGGTTCGCATGTAATTGAGACGTTTTATCGGCTTTCATCTCCCCGTGGATAAATATGTAAATCCTATGCTGTGTATAGCTGTTCGACAAAGCGAAAATCAATTTTGTTCAAGATTTATGTTTGTCTTCATAATCTTTTGCAGACGTCATAGACACTTCAAAGACTGACCAAGATGGTTTTACATATTCAGCCGAACATAATGATGACCCGAAAATAGCAAAACTCGAAAAAGAATTCGAAGAAAAGAAAATAGCTAGTGATCGAGATAGCGAGAGGAGAAATGCGGCAATGAGGAGACGATACGCAAAGCAAAATCTTAAAGCCAGGTAATCATAAAGAAAAGTTAAGATGATTTGGTATATTTTGCGGAATCGGACATTTTGATATTTGTCTGCTGGGAAAGATATAAATTAGTAAAACCGTTCATATATGGCGACCCATGATTTTTCGCAGCGCGGTAGGGCATCGAAACAGTCTTTTCAGTTCCAGATGCATAGTCTCGGTTGGTAAAAGACTCCTCAAGACACCATTGTGAATAGACACGAAAAGTCCAGCAATGTTTTCGCAAATAATCATTCTCGAATTTGCGAAAAGGCCTATATTAGATTAGACTGAACTTTATTGGCATCGTATAGCTTAAAAATCTTGTATGTCACCCTAGTAATGTGCCTTTTATAGAAAGTCCGGATAGAGGTTTCGTTTCCATGGTAACAACGAAAAACGCGCCGATCGTTAGGAAATTTCCAGTTTTTTCACAATTGATCGCCGTTTTCTCGCCAACCAAGTTGAAAATTAAATTCCAAGAGCTCTATCTTCCGCATAGCAAAATACTCAAATAAGTCGTCTTTGGTCTCGATACTCTGTAAACTGGAGAAGCCTTAGGGATTTTAGTGAACATTATTTTATTTATTTTTAGCTACAGTATATCAGTCACGCGAGTATGTCAACGGAACGCGCAGCGTTTGAAATGAACTCGACGGAACGCGCAGCGTTCAAAATGAACTGGCATTTTCAGTAACTAGTTTCTATGGATGGTAACTGGTTGCTTGAGTGCGGGCCTGGTAACTAGTCATTGCATGTCGCAATTTTTAATAGGCGGTATGGATTGCTGTAGTAGAATATGACGTATTCAGTAACTTTATTCTTATTACTAAACTGGGAAAGCCTCGGGAATTTCAGTGTTTTATTATTAGCCACCCAAGCAAAATTCACGACGATGCGAGCACCTTAAACTGATATGGCAGTAATGGAAAACATGTCACTGCGGCACGCTGGCGTTAGAGGTCAGCAATTTTTCTTGGATGGTGAAAGATTGACGGAATTTTTATGTGCTTAAGCCTTAAGGTTTACTGTACCCACTTCTCGCTGTCAGCGGGTGGTTCACCTAATTCACCGCTGGCTACGGTTTCTTCAACTAATTAAGTCTATAAATTGGGATTGCTATATCCGAATCAAACTGGTAAGCAGCCCTCATCGTATGAATATGATAAATAATCCTATTCTATTAAATCGTTAAGTGTCGGGGAAATGTTGAATCTTGCATGTATATATATATTATGTTCTTTCAGCGTAAGTTGTAATCATAATGCCTAGGCGAAAAAAAACTATAAGACGATTATTGGGAGCACAAACAAAGGCAAAATTGAACGAATGTTGCAGCAACAGTCAGATTGAAGAGGACCCGCATAGCGTACAGTCCACTAGCCATTCCATTGTACCGGAAACCATTCTTGTGAAGAAGTATGCAAAGGTACGACGGGGAGGTGTTTTGCAGAGGCTAGCACTGCGGGATTGCGTATCAGCGGAGATCCTAGGCGCCTACCGGGTTGTGATAGATATATTTCTGTTTGTTACAGGATCAATTTGGCAGAAGATGTCGGCTGTGAAGTACCTCCCAAAAAAACGTATGTGTAAGTAATATTTCAAATCATAATTCGAAATAGTATTAACACTACTAAATTTCTTTCTGAAAAACTTTCCATTCCTAATGTAAGTTAGTTTAAAGGTGTTGTAGAGAGCCAATCTTGAGAGCAATGAGGTCACTCATAAAAATGCTGCAAGTTACCACTAACCTGTAAAAATGCCAATGTTATCGATGCATAAATATATTATTTTTTAACGTTAATTTATATTATCATGTGCAAACGTGGCAATTTAAAAAACATTAAATTCAAGAAAGGAGCAAATTGGGATTAAGATTTAGTAACAACGAGGACCCACTGAAATCCCTTTGTCTCAGCCCATTTTATATAACAATTTTTTCACAGGTAAGCCCTTCCCTTTTTAGAAGCGTTTTCTTGAATTCTTATAAACAGAAAAATGTTAAAGAGCAATTCACCCCATTGGGCCAATATTTGTGAAAAAAAATTATAAATCCTTGTTAATATTCGCCTAGTAGAGATTTAAATTCTAATTTAATCAAATTATCTTTAATGTTTCCTTGTTTAATATTCGAACAAAATGGTGCCACAACCGATAATATACGTAAGACCACGGATAAAAAATTCGAACTTGTGTTTATATTAAGGAGGTCGCAAACTCAGATCTATCTTAAATGTCTCACAACCTAATCATTATTTCGAAACAGCCGTCAAAACGCAAACAATTGTACCCATTTTCGGCACCTATCCGTAAGCTAATACAAAATCCATTGAAGAGATAACATAGCTATATAGTTCAGCATAGTTATCTATACTATGTTCTCATGACTACTGATTCTACAGATAATAAATACATCACATAATACATTTTATGTTCGGACCATCCATGAAATGGCTAACAACCATCCACTGGCCAGTTAAAGTATCGAATGTCACCGAATTCGTCGTTGTTCGAATACTGAAAATTTTCAATTTTTTAAAAACCAAAGTCGAATCACTCTGGTGTTTAGTTTGAGTGTTTTCGTTTACGTGACTCGAGTTTGATTCTGGTCACTGATTCGATTCTCAATAACACTGGTTTCAAACATGCTTTCCCAAGACTTTTTAATAAGCAGCAAATGCAATTGGTGAATTCAATACTTGAGAGAATTGGAATTATCTATCTATCTATATATATTATATTTTAGGTGCTCAGAAACGAAGCACGTTGGACTGTGCATCATTATAAATAACATTACAAAGTATTTACGCCCAGCAGGTCAGTGACTTTGTTATTTTCTGGTGAATCTTTGCGCATTGCGCATAAAATGCCTTATTCACTGTGCATAATTTAATAAACCTAAAAACAGTTAATTTAATTATAAGGATGAATTAAAACAGTTGAAAGGCAAATAGCAAATCGTTACATCGCCAATAAGGTATTTTTTTGCAAAAGTCCATAATTCATGCACATTGATACATATAACTTCCAGGTCGTATTACATTCGCTTGCTTGACCCTTCAATTTTAGTTCATTACCTTTTTTTTCGATGAACTCGTTTAGCTTCTCTTCGCAAGTTCTTCACCAGCGCCGGTTACAAAGTGGAGTTTCACGAATGTCTGAAAATGGAGTCGATTTTTAATCCAGCAAGGTCAAGGAATTTTGACGATTATGGATGTCTTGTGTGTTTTGTTCTTTCTACCGGTGTGTACATTTATTGAACAAAAAATCTTATTTGAAAATCTTTTGAAAATGATTTGCTATGCACTTCCCGTACCACGTGTACCGCTTGCACATACGTCCCACGTGTACCACGCATTCCGTTTTTACCATTGTGCGGTTTGTGAGCTGACCAGCTATAACTCGGCTACGAAATCGAAAAAAGGTGCAATCTGATAACCATAAAATTTCTGAAGTCCATTATTTCACAAATGAACTTTGAGGTCCAAGAATTTTATTTTTGATTTCTGTTGAAATTTTGAACTTCTAACTCATTAGAGTCCAACACTTTAAATAAATCGAAAATGCAATCCCTGTTCGATCACCAGTAAATATTCTCTCTCCTTGTGTTTTTTGCCTATATTACTCATTTCAGGAAACGACAGACTTATTGAAACTGCAGACAACTCGTCTATTACAATGAATGAAGTAGTGCAATCCTTCAATCCGGATGAATTTCCGAGTCTTAACGGAAAACCAAAAGTATTTTTCTTCCAGGTGAGCAATGGTGGGAATAAAACCCTTCGCAATGGCCGCAACTTTTTCATAAGATTTATAAAAATTTCGTTGTTTTCATACAAATCAGTCCAATACAATTGGAAGTATCTCTGCGATTCGCTAAAATTAAACTGGTTTTTCAGAATGCTAATGTGTGGTCATCACGAAACACTTGGAATAATTTCAAAAATATTGCGATATGGGGCAGGAAGATATCAAAAGTTGTCTTTTTTCAGAACAGAATAGATATCTATGACGATAAGAATCTATGGAATGACGACGAGCCTACAACATTTCCAACTTACGCTGATACATTTGTCCTGCGATCGACTTTGAGAGATTTTATAAAAATATTCGCAGAAATATTAACCGGTCATCCAAGGTAAGTTGTGGGAAAGGGAATTGCTATGCGCAAAATTAATGTTCTGTAAAGTCAAGTTCAGCTATGTTAAAAGTATCAGATTTGAGAGAATCGCTTGCATCTCACTCTTTTGTTGTAAATTTGTTCTAAATCTTTTATAATGAATACCACATGGATACGATCTCAGAATCAATCTTTTAATTTACAGTCATCTTTGTTGTATCTTGCAACCATCTTTTTAACTGAGAGAAATGCTCTATTAACTTTGACTTTCCTGCTGATAAAATACGGACTCCAGTCGTTAACTCCGGTAATGAAAACTTAACTCAATCAAAATCCAATAAATTTCTCAAGCTTTTGTCTGTTTCAGCATAACAGACTAATTACGACGTTTGGAAGTCTGAAATTTGGTCTCCGGTTACTTCGAAGCAGACTAAGCATTTCACTCTCGCTTCTATAAAATGTTTAAGAACAACGTCTGTCCCTACTTTTATAACAGCAAAAAGGCAAAACTTTCACTCCAACTATAACCTAAAGGCCTAGTCGCAAAAATATTCTACCCACTGCATTGAGCATTGCATCAGTCGTAGCTCATCCCACATCCAGATTAAAGCGATTATTATCGCTGGAATATTAAACGAATTCCATTTGTTACAGAAAATCGCTCTCTACCATTATGACCTTGCTACAATACGAAATACTTTACTCATTCACCAATAATGAACGATACCATGTTATATCGACTTTGGCAAAAGAGGTGAGAACTTCTGATGTCGTGAATGAGCATGGTTGCTCTTTTCGAGTTGGTACTTACCTACTACAAATATTCGTGAAAGAACCACAACTGTTTGAACCTGATTTTAATGTGCGAGTAGGGAGAGAAGACAATGACGTTTTATTGATTTGAAAATGTATTCCACTCCTCGGCGTATTGTACCCAAGTTAGTTATTCATTAACGCAACATGAATGTCTGATATTACACGTTTTTAGATCACGTAACAAGCAACATACCATAATCTAGTGTCTCTGAAGAAAACTAATGCACTCTCAAACTTTTAAGGTCTACTTCACTATAGAGAAAGGTACGGCCGGGACGTCAAACCATCAAACAATGGCTCATATTCACGCACCCATGGAAAATTGTTCGAACGATTCAAAGAAAGGTATTTTAATGATTGCGATATAAAATTTGAACACCAGTTATCTCAGAACAAAGAAAATCTATAAAATGGCCTAATCATTTGACGCTCGTTCGCTCATTCAGTTGCTAGTCCGCCGGAGCTGGAGCCGTAGTTTGGGTACTCCCGAAGTATGTGTACCAGGTTAGGGTTAGGCCATAATTTTATTCCGATTTTCCTTATTTTAGTTCGATTGCGAGGACTGTCTACGTTAGCCAAGTGAATACCCCCCCGTCCATAGGTTTCAGTCCCCTTACACAACTTGATGTAAAATGGGCGAACAAAATTAGTTACCTCCATATTGGTACACATACTTCTGGATCGCTGTAGTTTGAATAGACAGTGGCTCCGGCGATTTCTTTTTTACGTTGTAGATGGGCCCCGACTTGATAACCATTGGGACTTTTAAGTGTAATCACAAGCATGAAATATCTGCCCAAATGCAGTTTTGTGGAAGCGTGACTCAAGACTTTATTTTGTAACAGTTAAAAATTTCAAAATTGAAGTTTTGTATAAATAAATTCAACTTGAAACTTTTAAAATAATACTCTGGATTGCATTTTATAAAAAATTATGAGCTGAAAAAGAAAAAAAAGATTTTACTATTTGTATGGGTTAATAAAAAATTATAAATGTTAAACTGCAACTAGATGGTTAGGAGCTCGAGCCACTGAAATTTTTGGTAGCTCCGTCTTCATCAGAATGTCATGGTTCCAAACTCCGAGTCCCCAGCCTGGTCCTAACCGTAACTAAATACCGCCATATTATTAAATACAACTTTCATTGTCCTAACCGAACCCAAAATAACATTTCATTATTACATCGGCTTTTATACGCTCTAATCTAAGCCTCCCTCAAAATTAAAAAACAGAAACGACAAATTTGAGGAGTCGTATTCGGATAACGTTTCAATTCCAGTAATCTTGTGAAACGCGTGGTCGTCCATACACTGCTGCAATGTAACCCAATAAATCCTTCATCAAATTTAATAAACTACACCACCTCACGAAGGCGTGGTGAAGTTGACACTATCTAAAACACAAAAACGATTATCTTTTTCAGGTAGTTTCTGAAGTCTGTAAATCTAAGTCGAATAAACGTTTCGACACAATTCGGAAAAACAACGTTACGATATAGTAAAATCAATGATCTTTATCAAATTATGCTCGGGCCTTGCATGAAATTCATAACGTGAAAAGGTACATCCGGCGGTGAAAATTGTTTTTAACAACTTTAAACATATTTAGTGTTGTTAGCGATAACTATTATCACCAAAAACATAAAAGCGCAGCAACGATTTACACTCATCATGAAACTGCACTTGCTGCGTTTCTTTGTTATTTTCAAGTATTTGGCATTTTTTGCACCCTTTTTTTGGCATATTAGCTTGTAAAAATGTGAGTTTCCCATGACAGGGTACTGTAGAACATGAAGCATAACGTACCGGTATTTTATTGAACCTCAGAACTTGTTTACTATCTTTCAAAAACTGGCTATAGGACTAGTATAAGATTATTTCGACTCAATATTCAGCATATTAGACGATAAAATAATTGAATATGGTGTACTGTGTCGTATACGGGTGCTCTGCAACGTCTGAGAAACAGCGTGACCGATCTTTCCATGAGTTCCCAATGGATCCAAAGCCTTCACAACTTCAAACCCATATAAAGTTCTAAATTTGTATTCAATCATCATCACTAATAATTCATTAGAAAGAAGAGATGGAGCACTTTCAATATATCAATAGCTCTAACCTTTAATACCAAAATTAATAAATGTAACTATTGAACATAAACTCAGTCGTGCTACGAATTTGAACACACATCTCATTTTCAAGTACAAATTTTGCTTATCCTAACCTAACCCTAAACACTATACTTTATTGATAAATACAAATTTTATCTGTTCTTATCCACCCTAACTAAAAACAGCGTACCGTAATATTTATTAGAAAATTTCGTCATCCTACTATCCTAATCCCCAACACTCATTCACTCTAGATATCAAGCCATCGGGTGATACAGCGGCACATGTTTACCCGCCTGTGCAAGGAGGAGCGAGCGAGGAGTCTATGCAAGAAGGAGCGGGCGAGGAGTCTGTGCAAGGAGGAGCGGACGAGGAGCCTGCGCAAGGAGGAACGGGCAATACAGCAACTTCGTTAGAAGGTATTTTAATGCTTTCGCAATACGATTATTCTAATTAATTTTGGAGTGACTATTGAGCTACATAATAACATCCCAAACCTCATCCAAATTGGCCTGTTCAAATTGGGAAGTGGGCAAACTAGTGGTTCCAAAACATAACTTGAAAATGGTTTTCCGAAACCATAGGTTTAGTGTTAAATGGCTAACCCTAACCCATGGGATTTAGCACCCGCATATAGATTAAACCAGCGGAAATACACATGGGTTCAAATGTACGTGGGTTCAAATGTATGGTCACCAAAACGTATACATGAATTGATACGACGAAATCGAAGAGAGGTATTCCAATGTTCACTATCTTGGGCTAGTTCTAACTTTGCCAGAATATACGGCAGTAAACCAAACCTTTTCTCTGGTTGGTCAACGACGTAAACCCGCAGCAACGATTTACACTCATCATGAAATTGCACTTGCTGCGTTTCTTTGTCGTTTTCAAGTATTTGACAATTTTTGCATCCTTTTTTTGGCCTATTTGCTTGTAAAAATGTGAGTTTCCCATGGCAGGGTACTGTAGAACATGAAGCATAACGTACCGGTATTTTGTTAAATCTCAGAACTTGTTTACTATCTTTCAAAGACTGGCTACAGGACTAGTATAAGATTATTTCGACTCAATATTCAGCATATTAGACGATAAAATAATTGAATATGGTGTACTGTGTCGTATACGGGTGCTCTGCAACGTCTGAGAAACAGCGTGACCGATCTTTCCATGAGTTCCCAATGGATCCAAAGCCTTGACAACTTCAAACCTATATAAAGTTCTAAATTTGTATTCAATCATCATCACTAATAATTCATTAGAAAGAAGAGATGGAGCACTTTCAATATATTAATAGCTCTAACCTTTAATACCAAAATTAATAAATGTAACTATTGAACATAAACTCAGTCGTGCTACGAATTTGAACACACATCTCATTTTCAAGTACAAATTTTGCTTATCCTAACCTAACCCTAAACACTATACTTTATTGATAAATACAAATTTTATCTGTTCTTATCCACCCTAACTCAAAACAGCGTACCGTAATATTTATTAGAAAATTTCGTCATGCTACTATCCTAATCCCCAACACTCATTCACTCTAGATATCAAGCTATCGGGTGATACAGCGGCACATGTTTACCCGCCTGTGCAAGAAGAAGCGGACGAGGAGTCTGTGCAAGGAGGAGCGGGCGAGGAGCCTGTGCAAGGAGGAGCGGGCGAGGAGCCTGTGCAAGGAGAAGCGGGCGATACAGCAATTTTGTTAGAAAGTATTTTATTGCTTTCGCAATACGATTATTCTAATTAATTTTGGAGTGACTATTGAGCTACCTAATAATATCCCAAACCTCATCCAAATTGGCCTGTTCAAATTGGGAAGTGGGCAAACTAGTGGTTCCAAAACATATCTTGAAAATGGTTTTCCAAAACCATAAGTTTAGTGTTAAATGGCTATCCCTAACCCATGGGTTTTAGCACCCGCATATAGATTAAACCAGCGGATATACACATGGGTTAAAATGTACGTGGGTTCAAATGTACCGTCACCGGTACGTATACATGGATTGATACGACAAAATCGAAGGGAGGGATTCCAATGTTCACTATCTTGGGTTACTTCTAACTTTGCCAGAATATACGGCAGTAAACCAAACCTTTTCTCTGGTTGGTCAACGACGTAAACCCCCAGCAACGATTTACACTCATCATGAAACTGCACTTGCTGCGTTTCTTTGTTGTTTTCAAGTACTTGGCATTTTTTTGCATCCTTTTTTTGGCATATTAGCTTGTAAAAATGTGAGTTTCCCATGGTAGGGTACTGTAGAACATGAAGCATAACGTACCGGTGTTTTATTGAACCTCAGAACTTGTTTACTATCTTTCAAAGACTGGCTAAAATACTAGTATAAGATTATTTCGACTCAATATTCAGCATATTAGACGATAAAAAAATTGAATATGGTGTACTGTGTCGTATACGGGTGCTCTGCAACGTCTGAGAAACAGCGTGACCGATCTTTCCATGAGTTCCCAAAGGATTCAAGGCCTTGACAACTTCAAACCCATATAAAGTTCTAAATTTGTATTCAATCATCATCATCACTAATAATTCATTAGAAAGAAGAGGTGAAGCACTTTTAATATAATAATAGCTTTAATCTTTAATAACAAAATTAATATATGTAACTATTGAACATAAACACAATTGTGCTACAAATTTAAACACACATCTCATTTTCAAGTACAAATTTTGCTTATCCTAACCTAACCCTAAACACTATACTTTATTGATAAATACAAATTTTATCTGTTCTAATCCACCCTAACTCAAAACAGCGTACCGTAATATTAATTAGAAAATTTCGTCATCCCGCTATCCTATTCCCCAACACTCATTCACTTTAGATATCAAGCCATCGGGTGATACAGCGGCACATGTTTACCCGCCTGTGCAAGGAGGAGCGGGCGAGGAGTCTATGCAAAAAGGAGCGGGCGAGGAGTCTGTGCAAGGAGGAGCGGGCGAGGAGTCTGTGCAAGGAGGAGCGGGCGAGGAGTCTGTGCAAGGAGGAGCGGGCGAGGAGCCTGTGCAAGGAGGAGCGGGCGATACAGCAACTTCGTTAGAAGGTATTTTAATGCTTTCGCAATACGATTATTCTACTTAATTTTGGAGTGACTATTGAGCTACCTAATAATATCCCAAACCTCATCCAAATTGGCCTGTTCAAATTGGGAAGTGGGCAAACTAGTGGTTCCTAAACATAACTTGAAAATGGTTTTCCGAAACCATAGGTTTAGTGTTAAATGGCTAACCCTAACCCATGGGATTTAGCACCCACATATATATTAAACCAGCGGATATACACATGGGATCAAATGAACGTGGGTTCAAATGTACGGTCACCGAAACGTATACATGGATTGATACGACGAAATCGAAGAGAGGTATTCCAATGTTCACTATCTTGGGTTACTTCTAACTTTGCCAGAAACTAAACCAAACCTTTTCTCTGGTTGGTCAACGACGTAAACCCGCAGCAACGATTTACACTCATCATGAAACTGCACTTGCTGCGTTTCTTTGTTGTTTTCAACTATTTGGCATTTTTTTGCATCCTTTTTTTGGCATATTTGCTTGTAAAAATGTGAGTTTTCCATGGCAGGGTACTGTAGAACATGAAGCATAACGTACCGGTATTTTATTGAACCTCTGAACTTGTTTACTATCTTTCAAAAACTGGCTATAGGACTAGTATAAGATTATTTCGACTTAATATTCAGCATTTTAGACGATAAAATAATTGAATATGGTGTACTGTGTCGTATACGGGTGCTCTGCAACGTCTGAGAAACAGCGTGTCCGATCTTTCTACGAGTTCCCAAAGGATCCAAAGCCTTGAAAACTTCAAACCCATATAAAGTTTTAAATTTGTATTCAATCATCATCACTAATAATTCATTAGAAAGAAGAGATGGAGCACTTTCAATATATCAATAGCTCTAACCTTTAATACCAAAATTAATAAATGTAACTATTGAACATAAACTCAGTCGTGCTACGAATTTGAACACACATCTCATTTTCAAGTACAAATTTTGCTTATCCTAACCTAACCCTAAACACTATACTTTATTGATAAATACAAATTTTATCTGTTCTTATCCACCCTAACTCAAAACAGCGTACCGTAATATTTATTAGAAAATTTCGTCATCCTACTATCTTAATCCCCAACACTCATTCACTCTAGATATCAAGCCATCGGGTGATACAGCGGCACATGTTTACCCGCCTGTGCAAGGAGGAGCGGGCGAGGAGTCTATGCAAGAAGGAGCGGGCGAGGAGTCTGTGCAAGGAGGAGCGGACGAGGAGCCTGCGCAAGGAGGAACGGGCAATACAGCAACTTCGTTAGAAGGTATTTTAATGCTTTCGCAATACGATTATTCTAATTAATTTTGGAGTGACTATTGAGCTACCTAATAATATCCCAAACCTCATCCAAATTGGCCTGTTCAAATTGGGAAGTGGGCAAACTAGTGGTTCCTAAACATAACTTGAAAATTGTTTTCCGAAACCATAGGTTTAGTGTTAAATGGCTAACCCTAACCCATGGGATTTAGCACCCGCATATAGATTAAACCAGCGGAAATACACATGGGTTCAAATGTACGTGGGTTCAAATGTATGGTCACCAAAACGTATACATGAATTGATACGACGAAATCGAAGAGAGGTATTCCAATGTTCACTATCTTGGGTTAGTTCTAACTTTGCCAGAATATACGGCAGTAAACCAAACCTTTTCTCTGGTTGGTCAACGACGTAAACCCGCAGCAACGATTTACACTCATCATGAAACCTCACTTGCTGCGTTTCTTTGTCGTTTTCAAGTATTTGACATTTTTTGCACCCTTTTTTTGGCATATTAGCTTGTAAAAATGTGAGTTTCCCATGGCAGGGTACTGTAGAACATGAAGCATAACGTACCGGTAATTTGTTAAATCTCAGAACTTGTTTACTATCTTTCAAAGACTGGCTACAGGACTAGTATAAGATTATTTCGACTCAATATTCAGCATATTAGACGATAAAATAATTGAATATGGTGTACTGTGTCGTATACGGGTGCTCTGCAACGTCTGAGAAACAGCGTGACCGATCTTTCCATGAGTTCCCAATGGATCCAAAGCCTTCACAACTTCAAACCCATATAAAGTTCTAAATTTGTATTCAATCATCATCACTAATAATTCATTAGAAAGAAGAGATGGAGCACTTTCAATATATCAATAGCTCTAACCTTTAATACCAAAATTAATAAATGTAACTATTGAACATAAACTCAGTCGTGCTACGAATTTAAACACACATCTCATTTTCAAGTACAAATTTTGCTTATCCTAACCTAACCCTAAACACTATACTTTATTGATAAATACAAATTTTATCTGTTCTTATCCACCCTAACTAAAAACAGCGTACCGTAATATTTATTAGAAAATTTCGTCATCCTACTATCCTAATCCCCAACACTCATTCACTCTAGATATCAAGCCATCGGGTGATACAGCGGCACATGTTTACCCGCCTGTGCAAGGAGGAGCGAGCGAGGAGTCTATGCAAGAAGGAGCGGGCGAGGAGTCTGTGCAAGGAGGAGCGGACGAGGAGCCTGTGCAAGGAGGAACGGGCAATACAGCAACTTCGTTAGAAGGTATTTTAATGCTTTCGCAATACGATTATTCTAATTAATTTTGGAGTGACTATTGAGCTACATAATAACATCCCAAACCTCATCCAAATTGGCCTGTTCAAATTGGGAAGTGGGCAAACTAGTGGTTCCTAAACATAACTTGAAAATGGTTTTCCAAAACCATAGGTTTAGTGTTAAATGGCTAACCCTAACCCATGGGATTTAGCACCCGCATATAGATTAAACCAGCGGAAATACACATGGGTTCAAATGTACGTGGGTTCAAATGTATGGTCACCAAAACGTATACATGAATTGATACGACGAAATCGAAGAGAGGTATTCCAATGTTCACTATCTTGGGCTAGTTCTAACTTTGCCAGAATATACGGCAGTAAACCAAACCTTTTCTCTGGTTGGTCAACGACGTAAACCCGCAGCAACGATTTACACTCATCATGAAATTGCACTTGCTGCGTTTCTTTGTCGTTTTCAAGTATTTGACAATTTTTGCATCCTTTTTTTGGCCTATTTGCTTGTAAAAATGTGAGTTTCCCATGGCAGGGTACTGTAGAACATGAAGCATAACGTACCGGTATTTTGTTAAATCTCAGAACTTGTTTACTATCTTTCAAAGACTGGCTACAGGACTAGTATAAGATTATTTCGACTCAATATTCAGCATATTAGACGATAAAATAATTGAATATGGTGTACTGTGTCGTATACGGGTGCTCTGCAACGTCTGAGAAACAGCGTGACCGATCTTTCCATGAGTTCCCAATGGATCCAAAGCCTTGACAACTTCAAACCTATATAAAGTTCTAAATTTGTATTCAATCATCATCACTAATAATTCATTAGAAAGAAGAGATGGAGCACTTTCAATATATTAATAGCTCTAACCTTTAATACCAAAATTAATAAATGTAACTATTGAACATAAACTCAGTCGTGCTACGAATTTGAACACACATCTCATTTTCAAGTACAAATTTTGCTTATCCTAACCTAACCCTAAACACTATACTTTATTGATAAATACAAATTTTATCTGTTCTTATCCACCCTAACTCAAAACAGCGTACCGTAATATTTATTAGAAAATTTCGTCATGCTACTATCCTAATCCCCAACACTCATTCACTCTAGATATCAAGCTATCGGGTGATACAGCGGCACATGTTTACCCGCCTGTGCAAGAAGAAGCGGACGAGGAGTCTGTGCAAGGAGGAGCGGGCGAGGAGCCTGTGCAAGGAGGAGCGGGCGAGGAGCCTGTGCAAGGAGAAGCGGGCGATACAGCAATTTCGTTAGAAAGTATTTTATTGCTTTCGCAATACGATTATTCTAATTAATTTTGGAGTGACTATTGAGCTACCTAATAATATCCCAAACCTCATCCAAATTGGCCTGTTCAAATTGGGAAGTGGGCAAACTAGTGGTTCCAAAACATATCTTGAAAATGGTTTTCCAAAACCATAAGTTTAGTGTTAAATGGCTATCCCTAACCCATGGGTTTTAGCACCCGCATATAGATTAAACCAGCGGATATACACATGGGTTAAAATGTACGTGGGTTCAAATGTACCGTCACCGGTACGTATACATGGATTGATACGACAAAATCGAAGGGAGGGATTCCAATGTTCACTATCTTGGGTTAGTTCTAACTTTGCCAGAATATACGGCAGTAAACCAAACCTTTTCTCTGGTTGGTCAACGACGTAAACCCCCAGCAACGATTTACACTCATCATGAAACTGCACTTGCTGCGTTTCTTTGTTGTTTTCAAGTACTTGGCATTTTTTTGCATCCTTTTTTTGGCATATTAGCTTGTAAAAATGTGAGTTTCCCATGGTAGGGTACTGTAGAACATGAAGCATAACGTACCGGTGTTTTATTGAACCTCAGAACTTGTTTACTATCTTTCAAAGACTGGCTAAAATACTAGTATAAGATTATTTCGACTCAATATTCAGCATATTAGACGATAAAAAAATTGAATATGGTGTACTGTGTCGTATACGGGTGCTCTGCAACGTCTGAGAAACAGCGTGACCGATCTTTCCATGAGTTCCCAAAGGATTCAAGGCCTTGACAACTTCAAACCCATATAAAGTTCTAAATTTGTATTCAATCATCATCATCACTAATAATTCATTAGAAAGAAGAGGTGAAGCACTTTTAATATAATAATAGCTTTAACCTTTAATAACAAAATTAATATATGTAACTATTGAACATAAACACAATTGTGCTACAAATTTAAACACACATCTCATTTTCAAGTACAAATTTTGCTTATCCTAACCTAACCCTAAACACTATACTTTATTGATAAATACAAATTTTATCTGTTCTAATCCACCCTAACTCAAAACAGCGTACCGTAATATTAATTAGAAAATTTCGTCATCCCACTATCCTATTCCCCAACACTCATTCACTTTAGATATCAAGCCATCGGGTGATACAGCGGCACATGTTTACCCGCCTGTGCAAGGAGGAGCGGGCGAGGAGTCTATGCAAAAAGGAGCGGGCGAGGAGTCTGTGCAAGGAGGAGCGGGCGAGGAGTCTGTGCAAGGAGGAGCGGGCGAGGAGTCTGTGCAAGGAGGAGCGGGCGAGGAGCCTGTGCAAGGAGGAGCGGGCGATACAGCAACTTCGTTAGAAGGTATTTTATTGCTTTCGCAATACGATTATTCTACTTAATTTTGGAGTGACTATTGAGCTACCTAATAATATCCCAAACCTCATCCAAACTGGCCTGTTCAAATTGGGAAGTGGGCAAACTAGTGGTTCCTAAACATAACTTGAAAATGGTTTTCCGAAACCATAGGTTTAGTGTTAAATGGCTAACCCTAACCCATGGGATTTAGCACCCACATATATATTAAACTAGCGGATATACACATGGGATCAAATGAACGTGGGTTCAAATGTACGGTCACCGAAAGTATACATGGATTGATACGACGAAATCGAAGAGAGGTATTCCAATGTTCACTATCTTGGGTTACTTCTAACTTTGCCAGAAACTAAACCAAACCTTTTCTCTGGTTGGTCAACGACGTAAACCCGCAGCAACGATTTACACTCATCATGAAACTGCACTTGCTGCGTTTCTTTGTTGTTTTCAACTATTTGGCATTTTTTTGCATCCTTTTTTTGGCATATTTGCTTGTAAAAATGTGAGTTTTCCATGGCAGGGTACTGTAGAACATGAAGCATAACGTACCGGTATTTTATTGAACCTCTGAACTTGTTTACTATCTTTCAAAAACTGGCTATAGGACTAGTATAAGATTATTTCGACTTAATATTCAGCATTTTAGACGATAAAATAATTGAATATGGTGTACTGTGTCGTATACGGGTGCTCTGCAACGTCTGAGAAACAGCGTGTCCGATCTTTCTACGAGTTCCCAAAGGATCCAAAGCCTTGAAAACTTCAAACCCATATAAAGTTCTAAATTTGTATTCAATCATCATCACTAATAATTCATTAGAAAGAAGAGATGGAGCACTTTCAATATATCAATAGCTCTAACCTTTAATACCAAAATTAATAAATGTAACTATTGAACATAAACTCAGTCGTGCTACGAATTTGAACACACATCTCATTTTCAAGTACAAATTTTGCTTATCCTAACCTAACCCTAAACACTATACTTTATTGATAAATACAAATTTTATCTGTTCTTATCCACCCTAACTCAAAACAGCGTACCGTAATATTTATTAGAAAATTTCGTCATCCTACTATCTTAATCCCCAACACTCATTCACTCTAGATATCAAGCCATCGGGTGATACAGCGGCACATGTTTACCCGCCTGTGCAAGGAGGAGCGGGCGAGGAGTCTATGCAAGAAGGAGCGGGCGAGGAGTCTGTGCAAGGAGGAGCGGACGAGGAGCCTGTGCAAGGAGGAACGGGCAATACAGCAACTTCGTTAGAAGGTATTTTAATGCTTTCGCAATACGATTATTCTAATTAATTTTGGAGTGACTATTGAGCTACCTAATAATATCCCAAACCTCATCCAAATTGGCCTGTTCAAATTGGGAAGTGGGCAAACTAGTGGTTCCTAAACATAACTTGAAAATTGTTTTCCGAAACCATAGGTTTAGTGTTAAATGGCTAACCCTAACCCATGGGATTTAGCACCCGCATATAGATTAAACCAGCGGAAATACACATGGGTTCAAATGTACGTGGGTTCAAATGTATGGTCACCAAAACGTATACATGAATTGATACGACGAAATCGAAGAGAGGTATTCCAATGTTCACTATCTTGGGTTAGTTCTAACTTTGCCAGAATATACGGCAGTAAACCAAACCTTTTCTCTGGTTGGTCAACGACGTAAACCCGCAGCAACGATTTACACTCATCATGAAACTGCACTTGCTGCGTTTCTTTGTCGTTTTCAAGTATTTGACATTTTTTGCATCCTTTTTTTGGCCTATTTGCTTGTAAAAATGTGAGTTTCCCATGGCAGGGTACTGTAGAACATGAAGCATAACGTACCGGTATTTTGTTAAATCTCAGAACTTGTTTACTATCTTTCAAAGACTGGCTACAGGACTAGTATAAGATTATTTCGACTCAATATTCAGCATATTAGACGATAAAATAATTGAATATGGTGTACTGTGTCGTATACGGGTGCTCTGCAACGTCTGAGAAACAGCGTGACCGATCTTTCCATGAGTTCCCAAAGGATTCAAGGCCTTGACAACTTCAAACCCATATAAAGTTCTAAATTTGTATTCAATCATCATCACTAATAATTCATTAGACAGAAGAGATGGAGCACTTTCAATATATTAATAGCTCTAACCTTTAATACCAAAATTAATAAATGTAACTATTGAACATAAACTCAGTCGTGCTACGAATTTGAACACACATCTCATTTTCAAGTACAAATTTTGCTTATCCTAACCTAACCCTAAACACTATACTTTATTGATAAATACAAATTTTATCTGTTCTTATCCACCCTAACTCAAAACAGCGTACCGTAATATTTATTAGAAAATTTCGTCATGCTACTATCCTAATCCCCAACACTCATTCACTCTAGATATCAAGCTATCGGGTGATACAGCGGCACATGTTTACCCGCCTGTGCAAGAAGAAGCGGACGAGGAGTCTGTGCAAGGAGGAGCGGGCGAGGAGCCTGTGCAAGGAGGAGCGGGCGAGGAGCCTGTGCAAGGAGAAGCGGGCGATACAGCAATTTCGTTAGAAGGTATTTTATTGCTTTCGCAATACGATTATTCTAATTAATTTTGGAGTGACTATTGAGCTACCTTATAATATCCCAAACCTCATCCAAATTGGCCTGTTCAAATTGGGAAGTGGGCAAACTAGTGGTTCCAAAACATATCTTGAAAATGGTTTTCCGAAACCATAGGTTTAGTGTTAAATGGCTAACCCTAACCCATGGGATTTAGCACCCACATATATATTAAACCAGCGGATATACACATGGGTTCAAATGTACGTGGGTTCAAATGTACCGTCACCGGTACGTATACATGGATTGATACGACAAAATCGAAGAGAGGTATTCCAATGTTCACTATCTTGGGTTACTTCTAACTTTGCCAGAAACTAAACCAAACCTTTTCTCTGGTTGGTCAACGACGTAAACCCGCAGCAACGATTTACACTCATCATGAAACTGCACTTGCTGCGTTTCTTTGTTGTTTTCAAGTATTTGGCATTTTTTTGCATCCTTTTTTTGGCATATTTGCTTGTAAAAATGTGAGTTTCCCATGGTAGGGTACTGTAGAACATGAAGCATAACGTACCGGTATTTTATTGAACCTCTGAACTTGTTTACTATCTTTCAAAAACTGGCTATAGGACTAGTATAAGATTATTTCGACCTAATATTCAGCATTTTAGACGATAAAATAATTGAATATGGTGTACTGTGTCGTATACGGGTGCTCTGCAACGTCTGAGAAACAGCGTGACCGATCTTTCCATGAGTTCCCAATGGATCCAAAGCCTTCACAACTTCAAACCCATATAAAGTTCTAAATTTGTATTCAATCATCATCACTAATAATTCATTAGAAAGAAGAGGTGGAGCACTTTCAATATATTGAAAAAATACAGATAGGATTTGAATAATTGTTGTTTGAAAATCCAAATTTATAAAAAAAAAATTATTTACAGTAAAAAATGTAAATGTTTATCCAATTTTAGAATATCGAAGCAGTCATTTTTGAAAAAATAATTACATTTCTTCATAGTCATATTGGTATAAATATTCAATATACAAAATATAATGTAGCTATGTTCAATGAAAGTGCCATAGTTTGGCCCCCTGAAATTTCAAAAACTACAATAAAATAGCTCAGTGTGACTTCAATCAATCACCTCGAAGGATTTGTTTTTGTACAATGACGTAATACGACTCTTACTCGTGCCCTTTTCTCCAAACAAGACTAAATAAAACAGCCACTGATATGTATCAAGATTTTAAAGAATCTCTCTACCGACTACTTACTTCGCTAGTGAATTTATCCAGGGTACCTACGCGCGCATGGCTTTATTCATATTGTTTTTATTTTCCAGGTGGATTATCTGTAACGGAATAAGGATGAGAAAATTTTGCAAGCTGTGATATAGTACATTAAATATTGTTTGAGTGTTTTTCAATGAAAAAATTGATGATATACTAATTATTTAATCAACTTTGTAAAATAAAATGCTACATATTAACTGCCTGAATAATCGTTGCGATTAATTTTTTTGTTGCCGCCTACTCTATTTTTAAATTGGATAATCTTGAAAGTTTGATAAAATTGAAAGTACCGGCAACAACTTACCCTCTTTATATAAATCCGTCTTTGCTATAAAAGTGCAATTACTTAACGTTTGACTCTAAAATTATCAAAGTCAATTCTACTAGTGAACTGCACATAAATAAATTTATTACGCATATTTATGTAATCAAATGTTTGTAATAACATACTTTGCGGAGTTTGCATGTAAACCACCTAATTGTTGGCTGTATAGCGTTATGATTATCGTGTTTTACTCACTTTATAATAGCAGTATTGGCAACTTTGGTAGCAGTGCTTGTATTGATTTGTTTGTAATAGTTTTCACAATCTGCAGTTAAAGTTTGTCAAATACACAATTGTGACATATTTATGACTCGTATGCGCAATATAAATTTACAATTAGCAATGATAACGACTAAAGAAAAGCAATCGAGTCTTTCACTTTGTATATATATTGTGCGTTACGTGTTTTGAAATAATATACATAACCAATTGTAAAAGAGTAATGACCCTTTTTTGAAGCATTGTCCCAGAGATGAGATTAAGAGTCTCTCTTGATTTATTGTCACTTTGTCCGATTGATCTTTTATTTATGTATTAATAAACAAACGAGTGCATTGTGAAAATGTTTTTGGAGAAAACTTCCGAAAAAGATAGAAAGAATGCCTATAAAAGAAAGCTGAAAAAGGTTATATCAACCAAAGCAACGATAAGCGGCATGTAATATTATTGGGCGCTCCCGTAGTATGTGCACCAAGATGGCGCACAACCTGAACCCAACCTGGTACACATACTATGTTGAAGTTGTGCGCCATCTTAGGGCACATACTACAGGAACACCTATTTTTGTAGATTGCTTGCCGCCCTACATCTCATGTGGATGTGCCATCCGTAAAGTATTTGCCACTAGCTTCTGGTTCGTTATGCACCTCATATGGACGCAGCGTCCGTAAGGTATCTTTCTTTAGCACACAGTAGCATCACGGTTTTGCATAATCACACATATATGTACAATTAATAGCGTATAACCTTCAACAATACAGATGAAACACATTTCAAAGCGGTTTTGTACTTCATAAATTTATCCAATAATTGAGCCATTATCTTTGACTATATTTTCATACACGAATAATGTTTATACGCCCTCAAGCGGATTCTTATCAAAAGTTTAAAAAAAATATCGTTTTGTGGTTTCTCGAAAACCTTAAAAAGTTAGAGAAAAATTGAGGATAATTTTTTTTATATAAGACATGAATAATTACCCGTTACTACTTCAGTTACAAACACAAGCATCCGAACCTCGTGCTTTTGGCGATATACGTAGATTCTTGCGGTTACTGCTAATAATTCTTGACAGAATATGGGTGAGTATACTAGCTAGGCAATATATCTCTGTTAGCATGGAACTACAGGGACTGGCGAGCGCTATGTTGATAAGCACAAATCACAAAAATATTACGAGTGATTTTTGTGGTTTATTTTTGTCAGTCAGGTGAAACTCATACTTCAATCGGACTACCGGATACTAATTTATTAACTCTACGAGTGAAGAAAGTCTTTATTGATTGGCTTTATTGATAGATAATACATTTTCAGCCTATTCTCTCTATATTGTAAACAAATTTAGTTGAATGTTTCAAAATATGATCATCATTTAGAGTGGGTGTAAACTAAGCTAAAGCATCCCAACCTGCTGTTTCTGGCAATGTGCTTGGATTCGCGCGATTACTGCTAATATTTCTTGACAGAATAGCCCCATCTGAGCTATGCACTGTCCCCTGGATGGAATCACATTTATTATATAAGATATTTTTATTCATATATTAACAATTATAAGAGATGAATAAGTAGGATATGGATATATAATAATTAGAAAATAAAGAACTAAATCAAGTAGTCAATTTGTATATATTTGGTAAATATATTATTGATATCAGGTATGCAGTCTGTTGAAGACGAGTTTTTGAATTACACATTATTTATTCCGGGTGATCATTAGACTCCGTGGCGTCTCTAAACCTTAAACACAATGTTTCAATCCTAATATAAAGCATACACTTTATTTCATAGTGTTAACACGGCACAATTTAAAGCGCTTTCCTCATTTCGATTACTTATTAGGTTTCTACTCGAATTTTCAAATTGCAGGTTAATGCGCCACATGCCCCGCAACAGATATTTTGTGGATTACTTTCGATCAAGTATTATATTAAAACGTATTTCAACATCCGTCTTGCCGATAATTGAACTTCAAATTCAAATTTTCGTACTCACATTCAGATGTTACGTAAATTACTTTTGGGCAGATAGAAATGAAATATTAGAGAGTTACGTATTTTAGCATTCGTTTCGCAGACAAAAACTCAGATTTTTGATCACTCAAGCTCAATACTCTCCGAGCAATGATATGATATGGAAAAACGTAAATTATTCGAAATCTATTTTTTTCAACAGTTCATTGAACATATTTTTGAAACTTTCCGCTGCTTCCTCCTTAGAGAACCCTCCTTATTCACTGTAATTGAAACGTGTGACTTCTTTAACACAAAAAAAATGAAATATTTTAATCCCAGAAAGCCTGTTTTCGTTTCTATTGAATTAGATATGGAAGTTCAAACTAAAATAGTGTTTATTGATGAAATAGTTATCTTCTACCGCAAAATTGAACATCATAAAATATTTCAAACTATTTGTGTACTTGCAAAGTGGCTACGTGTTTCTCATAAATATTGCCAATTTCTCGGACTACATTTTGTTTGTGGCGGTATTTATTCTCCAATCTCTCGTTTTTCAGCCTGATTATTTCAATTTTTGATTACGTTTCGTACTACAGTTTACGTTCTTCATCTTCTAATTTATGTTTCCGTTCATGTTTTTCATTGTCAATCCTTTTCTTCCGCTCTTATTCCGCTTTTTTTGCCTATAGTTACAACCTATCAGCCTGAAAGCCATATCAGTAAAATTGACAAAACACTTCTGGTCATAATTAGGATTGATGCACCCTTTCATCATAATCAATGCACCTGGAATCACGGTTTAGCTATTTCCCTACCCAGATCTGGTTATTTTGGGACATTCCCTATCCGTGAAATGATGGAGCTTACCTGTAAACCTATCTGTCGCAGATTAAATTAAGTTCTTAGTTTTGGCGACATAATAAAATTCTTGAAAAATTATTTTTTTCAAAACCCAATAGCTATTTACTTTTAAGTAGCTCACATAGAGCCTTGTTCTGAGAGCATTGACACTCTGATTCGAACAAGGCATTGTAGAAGCAGCCAAGTCAGAGTAACGGGCTACAACTATTTGTAACGGGTAAAGTTCTCCGTATTATTAACAACTGTAAATAGTATGAATGAGGCAGCTTACTTCACAAACATCCACATCAGCAATCAGCTCTCATATGTATTCACTTTCAAGTTTCATTACTTTACTACTTGTGATAAACAAATGAGCTTGAGGAAAGTAGCGTAAACGCGAAATGTTGCCGGAGCATGCCAATTTCCAATAATATCTCTACTTAGTGGAAGACGATTTTACTATGATTCTTATAATCCGGCAACTACCTATCTATTGACGTTCAATGTTTTATGCAAGGTTTTTAGCTTGCAGTTGAAAATATAAAACATTTTCGTAATCGAATGCTACGCCGACAATATTTAGAGTTAATGCTGCTGCGGAAAGACGTCCATAATTTATCAATAATATCAATTGGATGTTTGTTAACTTTTGCCTGTTACACCAATGGTTGACAAAAAATAGTTGAAGCTTCTTTTTAACCGTGCACTATTTGTTCATTCAAGTAAGTCTCGCCAGTTGACTTTTTCTTGCTGTTGCATTTGAACTGATATTCATATAGTTTATGTTGCCGGTCTGCGAGGTCATTTTATTTGATGACACTGGTAACGTTGAGGTAAAACGGTTAGGAATGAAACTGAACAATATCAAGTGTGATATATTGCCGTATCACAAGATCATAAATCAGGGGTCGGCAAGCTTTTGTCGCTCGCGGACCAAAGTTAAGATGTGCAAGTCATTGGCGGGTGGCAAATATTTTTAGAAAGTGGATGGCCGATGAATCACATTTTTCCACACAGATCAGAAGTTAAAATTTAAGCACCGCGTGAAGACTGTGTCAAATCATGAACTCAACTTGGCCTTACTCGTTGACAAAAATTTACAAAAAACATGTAACACTTTATGTTGCATCACGCTTATCTAAATGGGACACTGTTGTACATTGTTCGAATGTACATGTACTTCAAAACATCATAGTGAATATTTTTTCTCATGGTTTGGATAGAGTTTTCTATGAAGAAGATACTTTTTATATTAAAAATCAGAAGTGATACACCTCGCGAATGGAATATAGATTTATTTCCTTATTGTATTGCATCTCAGAAAATTTTATTTGAATATTTCCCGCGTCATTGCACCCTTTGCACTTAGCATTAACTTATCTGCGTTTTGTTGCCATTTCTCCAATTATAATTAAATTATAGGCCCTCAAACGAGTAGTTGTGAATTATATACTTGATTGGTTATAATACTTATTAATGTTACTTTTATATTTATATATTATTATTATATTCATTAATATTTATAATTTAGTCTACATGTGTCTCACAATAAATTCTGTTACGTGAAGAATATAATCGTCAACACAGCTGTTTTGTTACTACAATTCAGTGAAGCGTCGCGGGCCGGTTTGTTATTACTCCACGGGTCGTAGGTTTCCGACCCATGTCATAAACAATTTAAGACTGAAATATAGACGAAAACAGAGTTATATGCAGAGGAATGAGCCAAGT